GGGAAAGTAAAGAAAGGTTTTCCAGAGGGAAGTTCCCTCCCCACCCACGTGTGAGGAAAAGCCAAATGCAACCGTCTCGGCTCCAAATCTCCTTTAACTGGGATGAATGGGGAGCAGTTCTAGGATTCGTTTCCTTAGCTTCTGTATTGACATGATATGTAGCCAGAAATACATTTTAAGCCTTTATCCTCTTCATAGAGAGAGACTGTTTGGGATTAAAGAGCTGTTGATGCCTCATGGAAAAACTTTAATTCTACAGACATTTTCTAGGGATTTTCACCTCCATTTTTTTATTAGTAAGGACATTTGCATGAAAACAGGATATTTATTTCTTAAAGATCTCATCTGCTCCCACTGCTTATTCTCAACCTGAAGTCAGAATCCTCTCTTTGTGACATCATAATCCTCTCCACAGCAGCCACTTGTGATGTCACAGAGGATTAAGACTTCAAATAAGCAATAAGCGGCAGGCACAGATTAATCCCTAAGCCAGAGAGATCTGATTCTGGTGAGAACATCTCAGGAAGTGAGAAGGGGAAGCACATAAGCAGGACTGGCTCCAGACTGAGCAGTGTGTTGAAAAGGAGCCATTTCTGGTAGGTAAAGCAGAGCTGAGAGTGAGACCATCCAACTTCTAATTTTAATTCTACTCTATGGCTTCAAAGAAACAATGTTAATGCTTTCAGCATTCCTGGACATGCTGCAAAGTCCAAATCCCTTTTGGAGTCAAACTACCCATGAAGTGCTCTCGGAATTACTGCTGGTTCCCACACAATTAAGTCAGGTGCTTTAAAGCGAGCCTGGACAAAATCAGAATCCACAAATTTTATAGACATTCTTCAAGCTTCAGAGGAAATCTGGATCTTTGCTTCAACAACTGTAGGGGATTCAGAACAATCCCACCCAATGTGGGCTGAGAGCGATGAGTAACAGTCTAAGGAGGAACCTTGGGGAAAAACAAGAAGCCAAGGGAACGAATCTGATTCAGAGACTGCACACAAAACTTGATGAACATACTTGTTCTTCAGCTCCACGATGGCCTGCACGGTCCTGTTGTTGTAGTAGAGGTTGATGGTTCTCACCATCTTGGTTCGTTTCAGGTCCCCAATCTTCACTGTCACCTTGCTGATGGTGTGGCTGCCAATGAGCTTCACCACCTGCTGCGTGGTCGTGTAGCGCGTGTCCACTTTGATGGACGACAGCTTGATGTACTGGGGAGACAAAGGAAAGGTCACCCTGACNCCTGTGGTACTACATTGAGCATACCCTGTGGTACTACACTGAGCACATCCTGGGGTACTACACCGAGCAGACCCTGTGGTACTACACCGAGCACACCTGTGGTACTACACTGAGCACATCCTGTGGTACTACACCAAGCACATCCTGTGGAACTACACCGAGCACACCTGTGGTACTACACCGAGCACACCCTGTGGTACTACACCGAGCAGACCCTGTGGTACTACACTGAGCACACCAGGTAACATTACACCGAGCACACCTGTGGTACTACACCGAGCACACCTATGGTACTACACTGAGCACACCTGTGGTACTACACTGAGCACACCTGTGGTACTACACCGAGCACATCCTGTGACATTACACCGAGCACACCCTGTGGTACTACACCGAGCACACCTGTGGTACTACACCGAGCACACCTGTGACATTACACCGAGCACACCTGTGGTACTACACCGAGCACACCCTGTGGTACTACACTGAGCACACTCTGTAGTACTACACCGAGCACACCCTGTGGTACTACACCAAGCAGATCCTGTGGTACTACACTGAGCACACCCTGTGGTACTACACTGAGCACACCCTGTGGTACTACATTGAGCACACCTGTGGTACTACACCGAGCACACCTGTGGTACTACACTGAGCACACCTGTGGTACTACACTGAGCACACCCTGTGGTACTACACCGAGCATGACCTGTGGTACTACACTGAGCACACCTGTGGTACTACACCGAGCACATCCTGTGGTACTACACTGAGCACACCCTGTGGTACTACACTGAGCACATCCCTGTGGTACTACACTGAGCACATCCTGTGGTACTACACTGAGCACATCCTGTGGTACTACACCGAGCACACCCTGTGGTACTACACTGAGCAGACCTGTGGTACTACACCGAGCACACCCTGTGGTACTACACCGAGCACACCTGTGGTACTACACTGAGCAGACTCTGTAGTATTACACCGAGCACACCTGGGGTACTACACTGAGCACACCTGTGGTACTACACCGAGCACATCCTCTGGTACTACACCGAGCACACCTGTGGTACTACACTGAGCAGACCTGTGGTACTACACTGAGCACATCCTGTGGTACTACACTGAGCAGACCTGTGGTACTACACTGAGCAGACCCTGTGGTACTACACCGAGCAGACCCTGTAGTACTACACTGAGCACCCTGATCCTTTGGGACAGGACCCAGAGTGCACAGCGCTCCTCCATTCATTAGCAGGGCTGCTCAGGTGGGATGGGAAGCCAACAGAANTTATCACTTCATCCTCTCTGCTGTTCACACTACATGCAATGTAACGCTGGGAATGTGATAAATCCATAGTATTAACTACTATTAATACTGGCAGAGGAAGTCAGAGTAAATTATTATTTATAGAGAGAACCAATTATTTAATATGCTTAAATATCACAGCCAAAAGGACATTCATGATGTAGCAGGTTTCCCAGTGTTTATGTGATTTGTTGAGCACAAATAAACATATTTAATTTATAAAACACTTCTGTAGGTCACCCTTCAGACTGGTGTGTTTTCAAACACTTGATACATGCAAAAATTCAATTCTCTTTAATTAACCATCTGTTCAGTCTCCTGCTATTCATGATGGAGCTGCTGAGAAAAACAGTTTCACAAGCTAGCTGGAATTTTAGTAATTAATACCTAGCTTTTAGAAATTATTATTATTTCCCTGAAAACATGCAGCTGATCACCTGCTGTTAATGATATCATTAAATGAAGAATGGCAACATCTTGGGGGTTTTCTTTCCCAATAAAGACCTGGCCCAAATCCAAAGCAAAGCCATTGTACCTGGATGATTTTGGACAGCTCATCGAAGGAGTTCTTGCAGTCCCCACAGTACTCCTGGGCTAACTGCAGGATGTACCTGTTCACACTGGCTGAGGTAGAACTGATCCCTCCACTGCTGCCAGACTCGTCCTGGAAGGGGAAAGCAAAGAGGAATCACAAAGGGAGGCTCCACACAAAAATGACAACAGCAGAGCAGCACCGAGGCAAGGACTGCCCTGGGCAGATGTTGGGAATTTAGCTGCTAGAGAATGGAAAATTACAAAGCTGTGGCTAATTCCAAGCCCTGCACCTGCTAGATAGCGTGTCCTTGGGCCTAGCTGTGGTGGGATAACAAACAGTGAAAGAGACATGAGAAAAGAGAGATGTAACCCCTAAGGAATGAGGAAGAGTTCATGGTATAGTTTAACCAATAGATTGCTTGGCTTACAGAATATTCATAAGCTTATTATTTGCTGTATAAGTGTTTGATACTTTCTTCAATAAACGGAACTTGCTTATCACTCATATTGAGTGTCTGAGTGTCCCCTCACCGACAAACGGCTCATCCCCGACAAAGGCCTCGTCCTGCGACGGGCAGAGCCAAGGGCAGAGTGTGCCCAGGACCAAGGCAAGGACTGCCCTGGGCAGAGTGTGCCCAGCCTGAGCTCTGTGCCAGCTGCACCCGGCCCTGCTTACCTGGGGCTTCTCAGGGGCTGCCTCGTTCACCTTGCACAGCAGGCTCTCCAGCTGCGGTCGGTGTCCCATCAGCTGGTGATACACCCTGTCAGCCTTGTCCAGCAGAGTGTTGATGTTTGTCACTGCCTACCCAGGCAAAGAAAAGGAAAGGAAACTCTTTTATTTCATTTTCAGAACCGCAACCACCAAGCTCCAAGTCTTGTCCTTTGCCTTTTTTGGG